GTTGATATAACGCGCATATGTTATAAGCCCCCCTGATAATAATCATCGTGTTGTATCGAGTATACTCTTTACGGATGAAGCTACATTTACCCGTGATGGCATCAATAATACTCGTAACTATCATGTATGGTTAGACGAAAATCCCGCAACAGTCGAAAGCAATTTTCAACATCGGTTTTCTGTAAACGTGTGGTGTGGTATGGTTGACAGTTATTTAATTGGCCCTTTCATTTTGGAGAATCGTCTCACAGGAGACAACTACCTCAATTTTTTACAAAATGAATTACAAGGCCTGAGAGAATGTTCCTGTAAATATTAGAATGCAGATGTACTATCATCACGATGGAGCTCCTGTACATGTCGCTCGTCAGGTCAAGCAACATTTGGACGAACGTTTTCCAGGGCGTTGGATTGGTCGTGGAGGTCCTATTAATTGGCCTGCAAAATCTCCAGATCTCACACCATTAGATTTTTGTTTATGGGGCTGGATGAAAAATGTAGTCTACAAAATAAAAGTGGACACACGGGATGCACTAATTAGACGAATTGAGAATACTGCAGCCCATATTAAAGAAGAAAGAAATGAATCAATTAGGAGAGCAACAAACGCTCTTCGTAGACGAAGCAGAAAATGTTTAGAAGTCAATGGCGGTATTTTTGAACATTTATTGAAAGAACGCTATGATTAAGAGAATTTTTATGTGTAAATTTGTTTATTTGTTAATATGCTATAACTTGAAAACAAGTGAAAATCGGGTAAGAACATATAAGTTTTTTTACATTATTTTCACGTGTATAATATACTCCTAGAGTTTGGTGCGCTCCTCCGACTCACCCTGTATAAACGCAGTTATTTTAATTTTACTATACTGAACAGATAAACACATTAGTGACCTAATGAAATCAGGAGACTGAATTACAAAAACTGGCATACGTGAATTGTGATTCATATTTATAAAAAAAAAAACGAAAAAAACCGAAAAAAAAAAAAACAGATAAAAACATAAAACATACTTATTAATTCGTTTAACTTTTCGTACACAAGTTTAGGCCCGAATTTATATTTTTAAATTCTGTATTTTTCTTGTTTTTGAGTTAAAAAAAGGTATTTTAATACAGTTAAAAAAATATCAACTTAGCATTTACCCTGTACCTATTCGAGATTCAAGCTAAGTGATACGCCCTCTGAAGAAATTTGTAATAGGTGTCTATAGAGAAAGTAAAAGTTGAAAAGTCTTTTGGTAGGTAGAGAGGGGGTAAACGTCAAACCACGTCGGGCGGCTCCGAGAATTTCACAGTAATGTTTACCTGCCAGTGTCGTTTCATAGAATAAGTAATTTTAAATTGTTATCGGCGGAACCGGACAATCGCATGTATTTATGGATTATAAATAATTATTAAACATGTATTATAATATTCAAATTATAATTTTACAAAATTTCAACAGCTATTCACAATTTATTAAACTATTTACTCGAAATTGTTATTAAAATCTATAAAATAATTTTGTACGCCAATGTATCGCGTCCACTTCGGTGAGATCCGGTGCCAACCTGTCAATTTATGTGTATAAAGTGGGAGAACTGGCAAAAGCATTTCCAACTTTTACTTCTGTTCTAAGAGTAGGACTTTGTTCAGGTTGTCAGGAGTAGTGGAATTTCGCTACGACGTCGAATTTTTAGCCCTTGAAAAAGTGGATAAGACCTTGTTTTAAGTAGCAAATTTAAGGATTTTTTATAGTAGCGATTTATTGTATTGATTTTTTTTTAATTTCAGTTCATTTATCAATTTTGTTTTAAAATCAGTTCATCATTTGGCAATATTGGCGTCCTGTTCACTGTTTATATTTTGTGTCAATTATAATTCGAAGCTTTTCTTACTTGTGAACTTTAAATTTGTTTATTTCTTATAGTGTGTGATAGTGTTTATATCAAAAATGAAATTTGCGAAAAATCTATATGATGTTAATGTCAAAATCAAAATTAAAGTGTTCATTATATTCCAAGCGTAAGTGGTAAAATTTTAATTCTTACGATAAATGGATATCTACAAACTCACATTATTGAGATTTTGCAAAATTATGTCTAGAATCAAACTGAAATATCTACATTGTCAGTTTTGTTACCGTTAAAATATATACAAAGTACCTACTACACCTTCCACTTCAGTTCATAATATAAGAATAAGGATCGTACGATTTTTAATTAAGTTCATTAATAATAATGTATGTTTAGATATCTAAAATGTCCTTATAACCACATAATAAAACATGTCCTGGGTTTAGTAAAGAAATGATTCTAGATTTTTGTGTAGTAACCAATAAGTCCTAAATACATGATAAATATTATATTTATGACGAACAAATGGAAAGTAAACTTAAGTTAACACTAAATGAAACTCGAAAACACCATTACAATGAGAACATTATCTAAAAACAGTTAAAACATCACAAATAAAAAATCCCGCTTAAAACAAATGCATTGTAAACAAACATCCTACTTATAGGTGACAAATGACAGGCGCGCGAAAATTAATTTGAATCGCGAATAAAAATTTGTGACTTTTTCATACTAATTTTAAGGGTGTTCAGTTCCGTTATACACGCTTCAGCGTTATTGGTCACCTCAAAAACATGTAATTTGTAAATGCCGTTCCGCCCTCAAAGGAACACGATTATTATTATTATAGAAACATAATTAAGATATTAATTTTAGATGGTTTGTATTTTTATGTTGTTTTTTGAACTTGACTTTTTGTATTTTTTTTTTAATATGAGCTGTCAATCGTACATAAAAAATAAATGTCTTTTTAATTCAGCGAACTTTGAATAACAATCAAATCTAAACATAACTGGTCCTTCAGCCGAATAGTTGGTTAATCACATCGAATATATCAATCGAAAAGCGAATAGTAAGTGTCATTGGACTGGCCGAAAATCATTTGAAGGGTATCGTATTTTGGGGGATAATGGGGTCTATTCTGTAACAATTCCTTTATATTTAACGGCCTTTAAAAATATTGGCGGCCTATAAAAATATGTTCGTATTCGTTAATTTACTTCTGTCATTATTTAAACAGATTTCTTTAAGATAGTCCTCTAATGTATTTTAAAGATCCGTTTAAATAATGACAGAAGTAAAGAAGAAAATATTTTTAAAGGCCGTTAAATATAAAGGAATTGTTACAGAATAGACCCCAATGGGAGTAGGTGGTCGAATAACAAAATCTCATTTAAAATATGATACAAAACATCAATATATTTTGCCTATAAAACATAAAATTACAAACTTATTAATATTGAGAGCATCACCGACAATTGCACGCAGAAGTACAAGCTATTTAAGCTTCATTGCGTCAAAATTTTTGACTTATTGAGGGTAGAACAGCAATCCGTAATTGTATCGTATGTTTTCGAGCTAAACCGAGCACTATCAGATGCCTAATGGGTAACTTCCCAAGAGATCGGGTTACTCGAAGTAGACCATTTTTAAATGCAGGTGTTGATTATGCTGGTCCATTTTACATTAAAGGTGGAAAATTGCTAATCGTGCTATCATAAAGGCATATTTCTGTATATGTATGTGTTTTAGCACCAAATCGGTCCACCTAGAGGCAGTTAGCGATTTAATTAGTGCTTCATTTTTGAATTTTTAAAACGCTTTGTATTCCGTCGCGGGCTTTGTAAAACGCTTTACTCTGATAATGGTACCAATTTTGTTGGTGCTCATAATGAATTAACTTAAGTTGTACAATCGATCAATGAATTTATCTGCGTAAGTTTTAGAGCTGAATTAAGTAAAAGAATTGAACTAACTGCACTACTAAGAACAAAAGAACAACTAGAGTACCAGCTGGAATAGATGGAAAATTTTGTCATTGACATAGGTACAGCAAGCACCATTAAACAATACGTAGGCAATTTATACCCTACAGAAATAAAAGAACTAATAAAAAGGAAGGAAAGGCAAGTAAAATGGCAAATCGCCAGATTCCCCGAAGATAAAGTAGTACTCAACACAACAACTAAAAAGAGACACATAGACACATATCTCAGACAATTGACGAACGACAAAAATACTGATTACTCTCTGTGAAAAGCGACTAGGAAACCTAAACGTCTAATAGTACACATGTCACCCATAAAAGAAGAACAGAAACTGGGCAAGATCAAATAAAAAAAAAGCTGACATCGTTGGAACAAAAACATAATAGACATTTTTACGCATGAAGAGGTAGCTGAGGAAATCAAAGAAATTATCAATTCTAAGAAAGCATCCGGATATGATGTGATCACAGGTGAAATACTAAAACTATTGCCAATAAAGTTGTGGTTAAACTCACTGATATAATAAACGCTGCATAAGAACTAGAGCATGTACTTAGCATCTGGAAGTTCGCTGAAATTATAATGATACCCAAACCTGGAAAATCAAAAATAAAGTAAATTCCTATAGACTTATATCCCTGTTACCAGTGCTGTCTAAACTTTTCATAAAACTTTTAGTAAAAAGATTGAAACCCATGATAGACAGTAAAAATATAAGACATAACCACCAATTTGGATTTAGGAACAAGCATCCCATTATTGATCAAGTCCATAGAATAACGATTGAAATAGAGAAAACAATGCAAAAAAGAAAGATCTGCACCTCCCTTTTTCTAGATGTAGCTTAGGCTTTCGGTAAAGTATTGTTAGACCGCCTTAAATATTCCGCGCTTAAAGTAACTAAAGTAGGTGTTAGGATTTTAATGTTCATAGTTTTTACCTCTCCCTATATGTTAATTATTATCTTCTGTTGGATCTGTTTTTGTCATATTGACTTTTGGAAAAAAAAATAAATTAATAACGTCACCATAATATACCTTATTTTTCTCTCAAAAACAGGATTCGATACACCTAATTCAACATTATGGCGACCGTGACAGGACACAGTGTAGAAAATCTTTTGATTGAGAGAAACTATTACAAAAACTAAATGAAGAGCTAGCAAAGAAAACCATTAGTAAGGACAACGTTCTTGATCAGTTCTCCATTCTAGAAGAGACAGCTGAATGTTTATTCTTGTCTGATGAATGTCTTAAAGAGCACCTTTATTCAACACTGACCGAACAGGAAATCGAAAAGGAATTTGACGACATTCAGTACTACAAAACCAACATGATTGTTTATAGAAGAAAGTGTAAAGCAATAGAGAGTCAAATACAAGAAGAAAAGGATCCTATAAAGTCAAGAGGCGACAGAAGAAAGAGATTTCAACTACCAAAAATTGAGTTCAAGAAGTTTGATGGAAACGTAAAAAATTGGATTGGATTTTGGGGACAATTTAAAAAGATAGATGAAGATGAAGATATAGATCTGGAAGACAAGTTCCAATACTTAATTCAAGCAACTGAACCAGGCACTGTGGCAAGAGATCTAGTTGAGAGCTTTCCTCCTTCTGGTCCAAATTACACTAAGGCAGTAAACGCTTTGAAAACACGCTTTGCCAAGGACGAACTTCTTATTGAGGTATATGTAAGAGAACTGTTACAATTAGTACTTCAACAGTCAACAGAAGCTAAATCAGGTATGTCTTTGGCAGCTTTGTATGATAAATTAGAAACACCAATAAGATCTTTAGAAACTCTTGGTGTTACTAGCGATAAGTACGCAGCTATGCTCTACCCACTCGTGGAATCTTCACTACCAGATGAGCTGCTGAAAGTTTGGGAAAGACAAAGAACGATTTCTAGGAACCAAGCTAGAGTTAGAAATGACAATTTTAACGATTCTAACCATTTGTCTATGTTATTAGATTTTCTTCGAGTGGAAGTCGAGTCTGACGAGAAGATCAAGCTGGCCAAACATAGTTTTAAAGTACCAGAAAGCATTCAAGCCAAGCACAGTAACAGCAGGGTCAGTCAGTCACAACAGAAATACAGTTTCAGAAGATCCAAGCAAGATAATGTAGATAGTGAAGCATGTACTGCAGCAGCACTTTATACTTCAGCAGGTTCGAAAAATCATAATCAAGCAGGTAAAAACGTTTCTAACTGTATATATTGCAATAATTTACATGCAAGTCAAGACTGCATTAAAGCACAGAGTCTATCTATATTAAAAAGAAAAAACAAAATTATGAGCAAAGGAGGATGCTTTACTTGTTTAAAAATCAATCACAGAAGCAAAGATTGTAAGGCATTCATAAAATGCTTAATTTGTACAAAAAGACACTATCCTATCCTATGTCCGGACTTGCCTGTAAAAGATAAACAAAAAGTTAGCCAAAAGAACCTAGAAAACACTGAACAAGGTACAACTAGTAGTAATCTAGAACAAGTTTTAACTACTAGTAACGAGTATACTGAAACTTTGTTACAAACAATTTTAATTAGACTTGTAAATCATAATAAGGAAAAGATAGTCCGTTGTTTGATAGATTCTGCATCACAGATATCATATATATTAGCTGAAACGGCCTCAGAATTACAATTTGTTAAAAGTCGTCAAGAAACTATTCGGTGGATTTTCTAAATCTCCAGAAATTCACAATATTTTTGATATCACCGTACAGAATTTGACTACTGATTATAAAACACAACTACGCGTATTAGATCAAAAAGAAATTTGTTCATTTATTCCTAGATTACAGAACACAGATATTATTAAAGAATTGAGTAGTAAGAATATTTTTATTAGTGATATAGATGTAAATAATAGTTCAAGTAAGATAGAACTTCTGTTAGGAGCAGACATTTTTGGTAAATTACTCACAGGAAATATTGAAAATTTAACGGTTATGTTGCCATAGAAACGCAGTTAGGTTGAACAATATTGGGTCATCAAAGACGTACTGTGTGTAACCTAGATCTAATCTGTTCTAGCTTTTATTGTCACACTATAGCAGATTTGTGGAAACTGGAGATGTTAGGAATCACAGATCCTGCAGAAGTAAAAACAAAAGAATCTGAAGAAGAAGAAATCCTTAAGACATTTAATAAAACTATTCAAGTGAATGAAAAAGGGCGATACGAAGTGGTATTACCATGGATAGACGGCAACGAGAAGTTAGCTTCAAATGAGCTATTAGCAGTAAACAGACTGACTTCTGCATCAAAAAAATTAATCTCTTTGAAGAAATTTGAAGAATATGAAAGAGTTTTTGATGAATGGGAGAAATTAGAAATAATAGAAGAAGTTATAGGCGAGGCTAAAAAGAAAGGAAGTACTCATTATTTACCTCATCATGCCGTTATCAAAGAGACAAGTAAGTCTACTAAAATTAGGCCAGTTTTTGATGCCTCAGCTAAAGATATAAACGGAAATTCTTTAAATAATTTTCTTCATTCAGGCCCAAACTTAATTGAACTAATTCCTAAACTTCTAATTCAATTTAGGTTAGGTAACATTGGAATTACCGCAGATATTGAGAAAGCATTTTTACAGATTAGTATTCCACCAAAAGATAGAGATTTTTTAAGATTTTTCTGGTGGACAAATTATGATAATGATACAAGAAAGATTTATCGTCATTGCAGGGTCGTCTTTGGCCTTAAACCTAGTCCATTTTTACTAGCTGCGACTATAAATTTTCACTTATCACATGCTCCTCAATGTTTTCAGGAAACAGCTTTGAAATTGATGTCATCATTCTATGTTGATAATTGTGTAACAAGCGTCAATACAACTTAAGAGCTAGAACGTTTTATGTCAGAATCCAAACAAATAATGTCTTTAGGCAAATTCAACCTAAGAGAATGGACTTACACTGGAAATACTGATATCAAGAGTGACATCTCTGTTTTAGGAATACTGTGGAATGTAAATACAGATTATTTGTACTGCGATTTAAATGATATAAATGAATCAAAATTTCCTAAGACTAAACGAGGTCTACTCTCCGTTGCACATAAACTCTTTGATCCTATTGGTTTTACCACGCCTGTAACTTTGACCCCCAAACTTCTTCTACAAGAAACTTGGCTATTAAGGATAGGATGGGATACAGGTTTGCCAGAAGATATTATGAAAAGGTTTGAAAACTGGTTACGAGATATCTATCTACTGAAATTTTGTAAAATTTCTAGATCATTCAGTTTGAATCGAAACTTTAATTGGAGCGACACCTCAATTCATATTTTTTGCGATGCTAGCAAATTAGCTTACGCATCTTGTGTTTTTCTTAGAATAGAAATTGACGGTATGAAATATGTCCAATTAATTCAAGCCAAATCAAGAATTGCCCCAAAAAAGATCACTATTCCAAGGTTAGAGTTATTGGCCTGTTTGATTGGAGTAAGAATTATGCAAAACATAAAGAAGGTAGCTGAATTAAGGAATATTAAAACATTTTATTGGACCGACTCGATGGTTGCATTGGCATGGATTAAAACTACGGGCTGTTGGAAGATTTTCGTTGCCAACAGAGTAAAAGAAATAAATGAATATAGTAGCATTGAAGACTGGAATCACATTCCAGGTGAAAAGAATCCAGCAGACATTTCTTCAAGAGGTTGTAGTTGCAAACATCTTTTAGAAATTCGTTGGTGGGAAGGCCCACAATGGTTAAAAGAAAAAGAAGAATGGCCTCAACGAGAAATTTGTGATATTTCTGAAGAAGAAATAAGTAAAGAAAGAAAGATTGTAGCTACGAGTTCCATTTGCCAAGAAAAAGAGTATATTTCCAAAAGTTTAACATTTTTTTCCAAATTTTCACAGATATTACGGATGGTTGCATGGATGTTAAGGAGGTACTTTAATGTTTTATTAATAAATGAAGAAAAGAGAAAAGGAGAACTTACCTTAGATGAAATAAACGAAGCAGAAAGTAGAGTTTTTAAGATAATACAAACTGAGAGTTTCAACGATCACCGCAATTTCAAGAATTTGGACATTTTCATGGATGAAAAAGGGTTGCTCAGAATAAAGACGAGACTAGCTTTAGGAGAAGATCCGTACAATTTTAGATATCCCATTTTATTGCCCTCGAAACATGAGCTAGTCAGAAGATTAATTTTTGACAAACATAGACAATACCAACATGCCGAAGTACAAACACTGCTGTGTATTCTAAGAGACAATTATTGGATTTTACGAGGAAGACAGACGATAAAAGAAGTAATAAAAGGATGTAGCATTTGTAAAAGATTTTCATCGAAAGCTTTAGATGCCATTGTTCATAAGATGGAACCGCAGTCTAATTATGGAATCTGCACTACTAATTGCTAGTCGGTTTTGCAACTTCTCTTTAATCAGATTTGCAAGTGAAAATGCTCTTTCCACAGCAGCATTGGAAAATGGTAGCGAAAGAAGAGCTAGTGCTAATTTAGATATCCTTTCAAACCAATTTTCATCCAAGGTATTTTTGTTTTCGGACACTTCAACCCAAAAAGATTCAGCTGTTTCTGGATGCTCCCATTCTACTCGATTCCATTCACTGACAGTAGCATCAACATCCTCATTGATTAATGACTTGAAGCTCGTAGTTAAAGTTGTAATATCAGGTCTTCTAACTTGGCTCGTCGCGTTTTCAGGAGTTAACAAGTTTATTTTTTCGAGAACTTCAATGTTGAATGGTAATCGAGATTGAATTTGGTAACAAAGTTCAATTAAAAAATGTCTACACCTTTCTTGGACGCAGGATACATCGTTCCTCTCTATTCCCACTTGTGCTTCATGAAATGAGTAACCAAAATTGATAATGGTTGCGCTCATGACGTAGTCCTTGAAATTGAAAGAAAATATATCTTTATCAAGAACTTTTTCAAGATGCATTGGAGGTATAAGAATACTTAAGTAATTCCTAAGCAAGTGCAGGAGGCCTTCCATTAATTTAAGAGAATTAGCTTGGTCACTTTGGAAAGCTGTATTGAGGGCAGTTAGTTCTCTCAGTTTTTTTTTCAGAAAAACCTTGTACAGGTAATTTTTTTTATCATCTAACATCTCAAAAAGTTGTTGTGATGTATAGCATCTTTCTCTATCTTTTGTTAGCTGAAAGTGCAGTTTTAGAACATCCCACTGATCCAATATTTTATTTATGGCATTAACCCGTTCAGTCATTGTGTCCACATTTAATCCAAGCTTAGAACTGCAACTAAACCAGTTGTGAGATTCTTTTATTAAAAAATCTAAATGTTTGGGAAGTGATTTAAAAGAATGCTCAGCAGCCAAGTGGAGAGAGTGGCAAACACACTTAATTACCACTAAATCTCGATTTGTCATAGCTTTTACATGAGTCGAAAAAGAATTGTATTTTCCAACCATGACATTAGCACCGTCTACGCCAATCTCAATTAAGTTTTCCATTGGGAGATTGTCTTTAAGAAGTTGATTCATTGTTTCAGCTAATGTCAAAGCATCTCCTGCGGTAATTCCATTAATCTGTAAAAGGTCGTAATTATTTTTCTTTTGAGTTTGCTATAATATTTAGTTATAAGACACATTATTTTGGTACAGTCGATGGCCGTGCTTTCATCAATTATCAGAAAATATTTTTCATTTCCAACATCAAGGATTTGATCTTCCAACAAGCATGGACTAATAACATTTAAGATTAAGGCTGCACATTTCGTTCGATGAAGTTTTACTCCCTTGAGTAATTCAGAATTATCATCTAGACTATTAAGTAATTCACTTAAATGATCTGCCGTTCTTGTGGAACAATGCTCGGCAATAAAAGCAGCTATTTTCAATTCTGCGACTTTTCTTTTCTTTGAAATATTAGTCGTCAAAAACTCAGTAATTTTTTTGCTGGGACCAGCATAGTATTTTTTCTCAGACTCAATATGTTTTCTTGATTTTCTGTGCAACAAAAGATCTTTCTTATGTGCAATTAATGAACACTTGCAAACTTTACAAAAACCCCTTTTATCGTCTTCAGGGTCCGGCATAAGCCATCCTATTAAAAATATACTATAATTGGTATACGAATATTAAACCGAAGACAAAACTTACCCCTTAATTCACTATTTTGCTCCCAAACACTTCTGTACTTATTTGCCATTATTTTTATTATATACAACTCAACTCGTCGACAAACGCTAAATGTGAATCGGGGAATCCCGGTCCCGAGGGGGGCTTCTCATATCAACGTCTTTCAAGACAAATTATGCGGTTGGTAGGGTAGGCTTCGCTATACCGCTAGTGTATTAAATTATTTTAACTCGGCAAAATTAGATGGCTCTGCTTGTACAATTCAATAATAAATAAGCCATATATTTTTTGTTATTTATAATATTATATTATTTTAAAAAACCCTTATTATCCCCAACGCAATAGTTTTTCCCCAGAAGAATCCCCTAGAAATCGAAAACCTCAAAAAATCCCCAAGAAGATGAAAAACCCCTTAATTTTTGGGGAAAATCCCCTAACTTGGCAACCCTGACTTCAACTGGTGGTGGTAATACTACTAATCGACAAGTTTTACACGTTGATGGGAAAAAAAATTAAGTGTTTATACCTCCCTTATGGAACGTGGAATAACCAAGACTCAAGCAATACGAGAAACTGCTTCTTTAACGAAAACGCCGTATTCTACAGTATTTAAAATAGTAAGTAACCCTATTTTAAAAAGAAGGAAAAGAAAAGACTATGGTACTTCAAAGAAACTAGATGACTAAGATGTAGACCTAATTCGAAGGAAAATATAGGACTTGTATAGAGAGCAAATTGTGCCTACACTAGATATCTTGATGCAACGACTTCAAAAGGACGAAACTGGCATCTAGTGTAGCAAAGAGACTTTATAGAAGTCTCTTTTAGGAAACGGGTAGGTACGTCTCTGCGTAGAGACGGCCGCCTGCTGATAAGTAAATTACATGCTGTTTTATGGTAGTCACTAGATCTTTGGTTTAACTATACTTATAATATTGTTTTGTATTATTTTTGTAATCTTTCCAGTATTTTTTTTTATAAAAAACATGCGAAAACATTTTTTTCTAATTTTGTCATATAAAGTTACATTTTTCGTAATCGTAGTGTCAAAATACTTTACGTAACCAGTTTATAATGTTAAACATTATGAAACTGGTTATGAAAAATTCATTATGTCACCAGTTGCAAAAAGAAAACAAATAAAATTAGTTATTTATTATACAAGGGAAAAAAGTATTCGGTTTTTGTCTCCCTCCGCGTCGCGTCGGGAGACAACACAACCTAGAGCTAAAATCTAATATTTTTCCCGTGTATAATACACTATTTTTTTCTGTGACGGGAAAAACGACGATTTAATATTGAAAAAAATATTCTAAAATATCTACCTTTAGTTATGTGTATATATATCCGGGAAAAAATTACTCACTTTTTTGCCGAGGAAACATTTTTTTCCCGGGAAACGCGGAAAAAAGTAATTTAATAAAAAATGACATTTTGTTGCCTGACAAGAGAGATAAAATGTGGAGCAAACACGCAAATGCCGATAAATCCAGTTTTACTGATTTTGAGATATTGGTCAAAAACATATACAGCGGAATCCGCTAGGTATTTTTAAAAAAATATTAAAGGGTTTTGCTTTGTTTGGTTTGTCTTTGATTGTCCCAAAATTTCGCGGTCGTTGTATTTTTTTGTTTTTATTTTTTTTAGTTTTTTTTTTTGGATTAATCGGTTTTTGCTTAAAAAATAAGTTTTTGTGTCTTTATAAGAGAGGCGTGTTTAAAAATCTATTTGATTTTATTTTATCCTTATCAATATAGTGATAATAGAAATAGATAACATACACGATTCAATAGATATTTTATTCATAGCACAAAGGAAAACAGTGAATATGATATAACAAGAGCATACAGTTAACACAGAAAGAGTTTCGACAAAACATTTTATTAAAAAAAAAAACTAAATATGAACAGTCACTTCCTCTTCAAGACAGTCGCATATACCTTTCGGTTCAACAATGTGATCCCCCTCTTCATCGGGTAATGTATTTCCATGAAATAATGTCCGATACCATTGCAGATCCTCCGACTCCTCCCAATTCAGACCAAATTGCTGATGTAGCAAATACTAAAGAGATTTTTTTCTTCTCTGGAATGCCCCGTTTGGTATCTATTTCCACTATTGTTAAATCTAGATCCGAAAACTTGGGTTTCAACAATTTTTCAAACTTTCCTGTTCCTGAGCAGTAGTAAAAGTTTTCAAATGCGCATATTTTAGTCAACGCTCCATCGTTAAATTTTTGAAAAACTACTCTTTTCATTTCTGATAGCCCTTTAACCTTTTTTAAACCCACTTGGAGTGTTTTTACATCAAAAAGTCTCCAGTCAATGCCTAGTATTTTTACTACTCCAACTTTTTCGTAAGTTTCTTCATAATGCTTTCTTGAAAGGATTGTAGCTTGTTATCTTAGAAGTTTTTCCACCCGCCCAAATACTCTATCGGCTGGTAGGAAGGAATGACCCCTTACTGGAAAAACTATTTGTTAATTTTTAACTTTTTTGGTGCTTTAAATCTAAGCCAGAAGTATAGAGTGTGCAAAATATGATTATTTTTATTTTGTCCTCCGCATCCGTCGCAGAATAGACGAACTGTGGTGATATCGTCATAATTCAATGAATCCAAATATAGCCCAATCGAATTAGGTGAAGAACAGGCTTGAGATTCTGAAAAATTGGAAGCAGCAATTTTCCTTCGGAATTCGTTGGAGGGGGTCTGTGGTAGTCTAAATTCAAAAAGTTGGGATTCCAAAGTTGTCGTTACCTCCGCCAGCTTGATTTAAAGGGTTATTTTTTGTATCTTGAATAACTCATTTATTTTCAATTTTACACGGAAAATAGTTTTTACAAAAGTTATTTAAAATTAAATTTCCTACGATTCTGCTTTTTTTTGTACGATCGATTTTTTTCGATTTATACCCGAAAAGAGGGGGTAAATTTTTGGTTATAGAATAACTCGTTTATTTTCAATTTTACGAGAAAAATTGTTATAAACAAAGTTGTTTAAAATTAAATTTCCTACAATTCTGTTTTTTTTTCTGTACGCTCGATTTTTGTATTTACCCCTGAGAAGAGTGGGGGTAAACTCTTATCATTGTATTATCACGTTTCTTTTTAATTCCAGGTATCAGCAAAAAAAACAAACAGAAAAAATAACGGTACAACATCAATAATAAACGTGACAATACAATACTTAGGTTCACCCCCACTCTTCTCAGGGATAAATACAAAAAAATCGATCGTACAAAAAAAAAACAGAATTGTAGGAAATTTAATTTTAAACAACTTTGTTTATAACAATTTTTCTCGTAAAATTGAAAATAAACGAGTTATTCTATAACCAAAAATTCACCCCCTCTTTTAGGGTATAAATCGAAAAAAATCGATCGTACAAAAAAAAGCAGAATTGTAGGAAATTTAATTTTAAACAACTTTGTTTATAACAATTTTTCTCGTAAAATTGAAAATAAACGAGTTATTCTATAGCCAAAAATTCACCCCCTCTTTTCGGGTATAAATCGAAAAAAATAGATCGTACAAAAAAAAGCAGAATTGTAGGAAATTTAATTTTAAACAACTTTGTTTATAACAATTTTTCTCGTAAAATTGAAAATAAACGAGTTATTCTATAACCAAAAATTCACCCCCTCTTTTCGGGTATAAATCGAAAAAAAAAATCGATCGTACAAAAAAAAAGCAGAATTGTAGGAAATTTAATTTTAAACAACTTTGTTTATAACAATTTTTCTCGTAAAATTGAAAATAGACGAGTTATTCTATAACCAAAAATTCACCCCCTCTTTTCGGGTATAAATCGAAAAAAATCGATCGTGCAAAAAAAAGCAGAATTGTAGGAAATTTAATTTTAAACAACTTTATTTATAACAATTTTTCTCGTAAAATTGAAAATAAACGAGTTATTCTATAACCAAAAATTCACCCCCTCTTTTCGGGTTTAAATCGAAAAAATCGATCGTACAAAAAAAAGCAGAATTGTAGGAAATTTAATTTTAAATAACTGTTGTAAAAACTATTTTCCTTGTAAAATTGAAAATAAATGAGTTATTCAAGATACAAAAAATAACCCTTTAAATCAAGATGGCGGAGGTAACGACAACTTTGGAATCCCAACTTTTTGAATTTAGACTACCAGAGACCCCCTCCAACGAATTCCGAAGGAAAATTGCTGCTTCCAATTTTTCAGAATCTAAAATACTAATCCGATTGGGCTAATAACTTAAAAGTGCAGATCCTACCTCGATTGATCCTCTTCCTGCCATATCTTCCATCCAAGTAAAAAAAGTTGGTTTTTTGGATTGACTGTCCACGCAACAAAAAATATTAATGCTAACTTGTTGCGCATAAAACGCATCGTTAATTGGGGTTTTGGACAAAGGCTGAATTTGTTGAAGATCAAAGCAAAATGTAATTGAATTGTTAGGGTTCTCTTTTAGCAGCCTATAAAAAGCATTAGCCCTCTTTTTGTGAATTGTAAGTTTGATTTGTAACCCCCTTTTCTTTTCTGTATCAACTTTACTTTTGGTCAAGTATTTAAGCCTAGTACATTTTGCGCAAATATCGGTGGCTGGACTAGAAAAGCCAATATTAAAGTCATTCACGAATATTCTTCTAAACATAGAAAAGTTAACTTTATGCTTAACATTGCACTGACTTTGATACAAGTTGTGCAATTTTTTTATGTTTAAGTTAGCATCTAAATAAATCCTTTTCGACTTTTCTCTATTATAGTGACTTTCCTTTCCGTTTAGGTTTCCAATTAATTCTTTTACTTTAACTTTTTTTGCAACATATTTAACGGACACTTGATCTCCCCGACGGTTTTCTTTTGGAATATTCCCTTCAGATAAAACCTGTGCTATGTGATTAATTCGGTCTTTTTTTACATTAACACATCTGAGAAAAAAAGCCTGGCATACCTGAATTTTTTTTTTTTGGACACTCTTTTGGGCCGAAAATAATGCACCGAAAAATTGCAACTTCTGGATTGTGCCCCCTTTGTAGTCCTTTTTCTATCAATCGATACTACTGACATGTAATGATACAATTTAGTATCTTG